GTTTCGGCTGTTGTATGCTCTGGCTGACATTTGTGCCAACTTCTGGTGGGACTTTTATAATTGTCTCTATATTTTTGGTATATTGGGTCCTTCAGTATCTATATTTCTGAGATGATGTATTGTAATTATTTACATTATTTGGACTGTTGTTCTCATCTTTGTTGCCATGATACCTTAGCGTACAATGGCCAAAATGTTGTGAATATGGCAACAAAGATAAGGACAACATCCTGAATAATGTAAATGTTATGGGACCTACCTTTATGGACTAAATGGACTCGTCCTATTATTATACATAAGGGGAGATTATGCCTCTCAAGAGAGCTGTCTACAGTTGACGAGTTGACTACTGTACTTTGCTGTCAGTCGGACGTGTGACACTTTTGTATTTGTTCTCTTTGTTTAATAATATGTTTTCACTAAATTGCTGAGTTCAAGTTTTCTTTCGGACATATTCTGGGTCCACAACACTGGTGGCGAGGATTTAAAGAACTCCATGGGAGAAACATAAAAAAAAAAAAAATTTTTTTACCAGTGTCTACAACACTGGCGATGAGGATTTAAAGAACTCCATGAGAGAGCCATAAAAAGAATAAAAAAAATAAGTCTGAAAAACAGCTTATTGGCAGGAAAAAAAAAGAGAAAAAATTGCGCCAAAGTTATAAAATTAAAACATGGAAGAGTTTAAAGCTACTATGTTAGAACTGGTTAGAGTCCAGTTTGAACAACGACGAAGAAACGAAGAAAAACAATTAGAACAACAACGAAGAAACGAAGAAAAACAATTGGAATTACAGCAAAAACACGAAGAAGAACAATTAAAATTACAGCAACAAATGATAGAACAACAGAAAAGGTTTGAAGAATTGCTTCTACAAATAGGGTCGAATAAGGGTCAAAATACCGAGAATGAAACTACTTTTTCACAAAATGTGATTTGGAGTGCAACTGACAATTTCACTTATTCGCCAGACGAAGATAAAACCTTCGCTTCATATTTCAGAAGGTATGAGGAACCCATTCAAAATAGATTGTGGGAAATGAGCAGACGCTAAAAAGCTATGCCTACTGCTCCGGAAATTAGGGACTACTGAACATAGCAAATTCGTGGACTACATATTACCTAAAAAAAACTAGTGATTTGACTTTCGTTGAAGCTGTAAATCTCCTTACAGAATTATTCAGCCCCAAAACGTCATTATTCCACAAAAGGTGGAAGAGTTTAAACCTAACCAAAAATACAGCGAAGATTACTTGACGTTCACATCAGTAGTTAACAAACATTGTGACGATTTTAAATTGGCCGAACTTACCGCAGACAATTTAAAATGCCTAATATTCATACAAGGACTCGTATCAACGGAAGATACAGAAATTAGACGTAGAGTCCTAACCAGGTTAGAGGGAGAACCAAATTTAACTTTACAAAATATAGCCAAAGACTGCCAAAAATATATAAGTATAAAAAATGATTCTAGAGACATTGAAGAGTCAGGTGTTGCATGCATAAGAGAAATACATCGAAAACCACATTTTTCCTCCCCTTCACAAACAAGTCAAACCAAAAAAGCCAAAAAAAAAAGATTATTTTCACTCTCCTCAGAAAAAAAGTCAACTCGATGAAAAACAGAAAAATTTACTGCCTAGTCCATGTTACCGTTGTGGAGCACTTCATTGGTTTAAAGATTGCCAATATCGGTTTAAAACCTGTAATAAAGTTGGGCACAAGAGTTCACATTGCAAAGTAAATAAAGGAGGAAAAATCTGCAAAAACAGATGAACTGGATGTCATAAATATAAGAAAGTATGTGCTGGTAGAAATACTGAATAAAAAAGTCAGGTTACAATTAGACTCTGGGTCTGATTTATCAATAATCAACCTACGTACTTGGAAAAGGTTAAATAAACCAACCATGCTAAAAACTGGCAAAATAGCTAGGTCGGTGACTGGTAAAAAAATTAAGTTTGAGGGTGAAATTTTCGCGAACGTTACTTTGAACGGAACAACCAAAAAATTGAAAATGTTCATGTTAAAAAACACAGACAATCTATTTGGCACAGATTGGATGCAGCAGTTCAATCTGTGGGAATTGCAATTAATACTTTTTGTCAGAAAATAGAAAATCTGATGGCCGAGTCAGATATACTTAGAAATGAATTAAAAGAAACCTTCCCCGAGGTCTTTTTGGCTGGCCTTGGTAGATGCAAAAAGATGTCAGCAAAATTTGAGCTAAAAGAGCACACTCAACCGATATTTAAGAAAAAAAGGAATGTGCCTTTTGCCTCGTTAGAGGAAATAGACAAGGAATTAGACTGACTTGTAGAGACTGGCATTTTATCTAAAGTGGAATATAGCCAATGGGCAGCACCAGTAGTGTATGTAAAGAAGAAGTCTAAGGAAATCCACGTGTGCGCAGATTTTTCTACTGGACTAAATGCAGCACTAAAAGATTATCACTACCCACTTCCAAGCCCGGAAAAAGTTTTTACAAAACTTAATGGAGACAAGTTCTATTCAAAAATCTCCAGATACCTGTTGAGGAAGAATGCTTGAAACTACTATGTATAAATACACATAGAGGCTTATACAAATTTGAAAGGCTTACATTTGGAGTCAAAGTTGCACCAGCCATTTTTCAGCAGGTTATGGACACCATGCTGGGTGGACTTGACTTTTCAATGGCTTACCTAGACGACATCTTGATAAACAGTAAAAGCGTGGAACAACACCTGGAACACATCCACAAAGTATTTTCACGAATACAAGACTATGGATTCAAAATAAAGGAAGGCAAATGTGACTTCATGAAAGAAATCAAATATTTGGGTCACATCATAGGCAAAGACAGTAGGAGACCAAACCCAGAAAGGGCCACTGCAATTAAGGACATGCCAGCTCCTGAAAATGTCACAGTGCTACAGAGCTTTTTGGGGTTAGTAAATTACTACCAAGCGTTTATCCCAAATATGCATAACCTCTGTACCCCGCTGAATGAGCTTTTAAGAAAAGATAAGGTTTGGGAATGGCCACTCGAATGCGAGAAAACTATCAAAGTCCTAACATCGGATTTATTCCTTATGCACTACGACCCGAACCTCGAGATCATAGTTGCTAGTGACACAAGCTCGCATGGAATCTGAGTGTGCATCCTTCATAAAATGCCAGATTGAATGCAAAAGCCCATCGCTCATGCATCAAGGACCCTGCTCCTAGCGGAAAAGAACTATTCCCAAATAGAAAAAGAAGCATTAGCAATCATATTTGCAGTCACGAAATTTCACCATTACATACACAGAAGATTTTTCACATTACAAATGGACCATAAACTGCTACTCAGTATTTTCGGGTCAAAAAAAAGGATTACCCGGTTATACGGCAAACAGACTGCTGAGGTGGGGGACAATTCTCCTAAATTACAACTTCAAGTTGGAATACCTCCCCTCAAAAAAAATCTGTTACGCTGACAGACTTTCTAGACTGGTTCCAAGACATAGGGAACCCTTAGAAGATTCTGTGATCGCTTCACTACGAACGGAGGGGGAAATAAAGACTTTATTGTGTAGCACTATAAGAGAACTTCCTTTGATGCTACGAGAAATAAAACATAAAACCTGCAATGATGAATTCATTAGCGCAACAAGAACAAAAATTTCAGAGAAGGACCAACACATATCAGACAGTTTTTCCCTATGCGACGAGGTACTCCTATACAGTGAGAGAATCGTCATTCCAAAAAACCTACAGATGAGAATCCTGAAGGATTTTCACATTGGGCATCTGGGGGAAAAAATAGGATGAAAAGTCTAATGCGCAGCTACGTATACTGGCCTAAAATGGACCAGGATATCAAAAATATGGTCAACACATGCAAGGGCTGTGCATTGGCGGCAAAAGCACCACCTATCACACATAAACTGTGGCCAAAGTTGGACTGACTTTGGTCAAGGATCCACGTGGACTTTGCGGAACCGCTAGAGGGATTCTACTATCTAATTGTAGTAGATAGTTATTCAAAATGGCCAGAAGTGTTCCGATGTAAAAATTCCTACTATGGAAGCAACAATAAGCTACCTTCACAAATTATTCACTCGTTTTGGGGTAGTAGATTGCTTGGTCAGTGACAATGTAGTGTTGTGGGAAGCTATTCAAATGAAACTTCCTTCTTACCTTTGGATTATGGTGGAAATGAATGTGTTTTGACTCTAAGGAAATAGCATGACATGCCCTAGCTGTGAAGGTCTGAACTAGTGGAACTAAAGAAGCTCACCTGAACATTTCCTATGGAAATAGCAATGACATGGTAATGAGCTTGCAGTGTTGCATCTGTGAGTCTCAGCTGCAGAGTGGAGAATAGGTCTTCTCGCACAAGACCACATAAATGATTTGAAACTCTATCAAGGCTGGAACGTGAGGATAGAATTGCTCCAACACAGATATGGCTGCAATACTACATATTTTTTTTTATTTTATTTAATCATTTCACTCCAACCAAGTCTTCAGGAAAGCAGAAGTTTGGGATTGATGTGCATTTAAATTTTTGAAGATTGTAGGTGACAGGGAAAGAATTTAAAATTAGTGCTCATTGGAACAATGCCTATAAGCTGAGCAATCTTAGTGATTTATCAACAGGAGGGCAATAAAATCTGAGTTAATTTATATAAGAAAATTATTTTAAATTATTCTTAACATCTAATTGCTGTCATAGCAAATAAAGGGTACAGTATGAAATGTTGAGTGCAGTTGATTGATATGTATCCAGTACTTTTGCTTTAGACTGTTTTATTAAATTTCCTAGTAAATTTGTGTCTAGTCAGATTTTCTTATTTCTGCTGAGATATATAATAACCTAAGATTTACTATGTTCAACTCAATTTTTTGGTTTGTGGCAACATTTGAAATTGTTTTTCTTAAAAAAGCTCAAAAATTTTCTGTTCAATACTTTAGCATGTGACTGTGTGACAGATTTTAAAGTTTTTCTTGCTGTTCTTTCTCATTTCAGGAGACCTTGTCGCGAAAAAAATTCCAAAAATCCAACCAGAGAGTATCGGAATGGCAAATTACTAATGTCGTTAAATCAGAGAACAGTGATCAAATTAATCAAAGCAGTGACCTACCAGATACAATGTGTCTGAATGATAGTAATTCTATAATTGTTATCCAGGATGATGATTGCAGTTTGCAAGGAGATGGTCAAACAAAACTAAATGCAATTACGGTCAGCGATTCTGAATCGGAATGTTTTTCCCTCCCTGATATTGAGGAGCCATTTGATAGTTATCCTTCTTTGACACACCCTACAACATGTTTGTCTTTTATTGTCCAAAACGACGTTCATGGAAAAGGGAAATTTTTTTCTCTGAATTCAACTGTTTCTTCTGCAAGAGAACCTTCTCGCTCAAAGATAAAAAAGCACGAAGATCAGAATATCATTTGTATTAGTGAAGATTCACTAGACTCCGATGTAATTGAAATCACGAGCGGGGAAGAGGATTTTAAGGATACATTAAATGACAGTGACGTGATAACAGATGAAGGCTCTTGTAAAACTGCAAATGGCTGTTTGGACAATCTTTGTAACAATTTCGTTAAAGATACAAATCATTGTTTATATACAAATAAAAATACTAATCAAAGTTTTAGTAGACGTGATTTGAAACAAAACATTGCGAATGGTTCTTTATCATTGTCAACACTTCGAGACTCTATTTTACCATATTCCCTTCAACCCTATACCAGCAATACGAATTTAACAGATTTAAAAGATCAGCCCGACGTGACAGTTGAACTTATTCAGTCATGCCTTGAAGAAGGAGATAAGTTTGCACTCTGCACGGCCAACATTTCCTGTTTATATTTATATGCATACCGGCCTGCGCAAGGTTTGCTTGAGGATTTGCTTAAATGGTTTCTGCAAAGAGATGTTGGTTTTACTCTTGAAAGTGGAGGTCTTTTACGATTGCCCTATTTTAAGCTTTATGGTCTTCTTGATGAACTTTTTTATTGTTATCCAGAAAATGTTTCCATTCTTTGGAATGCAATATGTGAAAGAATGCTTAGCATTCCTCTTGAAGGAAATGTCTTTTTGAACTTTGCCTTGACACTGGAAATCTGTTTAAGTGTTTTAGAGGGAGAAATCTTCCAGTTGCAGGATCCAAAGAAGTGTCAAATTTACCATCTTGGGTTGAACAATGAATCTTATTCCAAAATTAAAAAAATAATTTGGTGGCTGGGTAAACTTGTCGCAATTCTCAATAAGAAAAATTTAACTCTAACTGAGCAGGTTCTGTGTCAGCTGGGAAAGCTCTTGGAATTAGGTGTGGTTGTTAGTCAAAGAGACGCTGAACTGGCCAAACGCATTGCAAAAGACCTTGTCGGTGTATATCTGACTATTCCTTGTGTGAATTTTCGCCAGCGTTTTTTATCCATGATTCAATCCAACTTGATTCGATTTAAGTTGTTGGAAATACTTTTGGAGAAATACTTTACTGGGACAATGCTAAGTTGGAGTTATATGCCTGAAAGCATAGCAGATATTGCCAAGTCTTTCTTTCAAGCAACACCCATGAAAAATGATTTGCTTGATGATAACATTCTTATAAGTTTGGACAATTTAGACAATGTGACCTCATCTTCATTTGAAGAGCTTATTATGTTGATTTACTTTGCTATCATCAGCTATTTGGCTCACATTCAAGGTAAGCTGGTGTTTCTGTTTTTTTTTTTTTTGTTGTTGTTTTTTTCAACTTTACTCTTATCAGCCATTTGGCTTATATCTAAGGTAAGGTGGTGTTTTTTTTTTTTTTCACTTTACTCTCATCAACCTTTTGATTCACCTGTAATGTGTAAAATAATGTTCTTTGTACTTTACTTTACCTCAATATTTTGATTTATCTGAATTAAAATGTTTTGCTTAAAGACTTTGCATTAAGCGATAACATCAGTTAAGATAAGTTTTAGTATCCGATTGTATTGGATTTATCCAGAATGTTCAAATTGATTTTATTATTAGATGGCATGAGGTGTGTTTAGTTTTAATTAATGTCATTCAAGAAGATGGCTTTTGATTGTACTGCCTGACCAAAACTATCAGTTTCTACACCTGTAAAAAAATGAGCTTATGCCTGACCATGATTATTGATTTACACACCTGAAATCAATAGTGGTTATTTATTTAGTTTCTGCAGCTCACAAATTGTCAGATCATCTAATTCATTGTGTTTCTGCATTTGTAGTGTTATGTAAAGGATTCTTGTTTCATTGAATAAAATAGAATATCTTTGATTTTAGTGCATAATCAATACCTATTTAGCATTTTTACAACTTTTTCTTCTAAAGATATGAATAGCTAATAAGTACTGGAACATGTAGTAGTCTCTTTATGCTCATTTGATACTACAGTGTAATAACTGTGTTTGTTTATAGTCTGCTTGATGAAATGTGTGGTCTAATTCTTCTATCCCATACATGCTCCTTAAATAGGCAATTTCCCTTTATCCTGCCATTGATGTACACCTAATTTCTTGCAATTAATCTCAAGTACCTCAAATTCTTTTATTTTCTTAAAACCAGAGGCCCCTAAGACCAAGAATTTGACCATTCATATTATTCAATGTAGAATTAGCTGAATAGTATGAAATGAAATTTCATCCCCATTTGGATTGACTGACATATTCTATCAAAGAAGCCAATGATCATTTCAGCTCCAGGCCATGCAAAGCCGTATGATGGGGATTGGGTCAATTTTAGTTATACTGGATTTACTTGATCCTGCTATGTTAAACCGGCATTCAATACTTGACGATTCAGTTTCCAGCATTCACCTTGGAATGCTAATTAATATTTTTAATTGGATCTTTTTCTACTCAGTGTAATCTTTCTTTGATTAAACCTTAGGTCTTTTTTATGTGCAAACAGGGAACTTACCCGGTTACATTTCGATTGCTATCATGTCAGTTATTAAAAAAAAAATATTATCAAGATGAGCTTATTTTTGTTTGAGTCTAAATTTAAGACTTTTTATACTGATGCTTACCTAATACAAGTATGATGTCCACCCCATTGTTCCCTTTGATGTTTGATCTCTGCTGTTGACCATTAAATGGATCACTTCAATCCAAGTCTTGCCTTGTCCCACATTGTGTTTCATTTAGCTCACAAGGCTGGCACAGATCAAATTGTCAACAGGAATAATTGAATTGATTTGGTCTGGACAGTGTGAAGTCACAAGTAAAAAATAAATTAAAAGAAAATGTTTTATATAATGTTTATTGTACAGAGTTGGTAGTACAATTATTAGTTCTTCAGGCGGGAATATATATTCTTCATGTGGGAATATATTCTTCATGCAGAGTTATCAACCCTTCTCTCTTTGAATATTTCGTGACACTTTGTTGTGACTAAGTATAGAGAAGGCTTCTGGAACAACTTAAATTGGGGATTTATTCAGGCTAGAAGCCACGTGAGATCAGGTGAAGCGGTTGTCTCTTGTCCAGTGTCTGGAATAGCTGTCCTGTTGGCTGCTTCAACTTTCCATTTATATGGACCTCCATCCAAAATGGGCATGGAATTTGATGGTGCCTGGGGTTTCGGTAAATCCCCTAACTCCTACAGAGAATCCTTCGTCATCAGACTCAGGAAAATTGATTGCATGCCCAATTTTGGGGAGATCCTTCCTCCTAAGAGTATTGGTAGCAGAATATCGATCCACCTTAACTCCTTCCTTCTCATATTGGTACCTCATAACAATACTACCAAAGGGGCGTAGGCAATTCTTCTGTCCACTTGATATTTCACTTTCACTGTCATTTTGACAAACTTGAGTTTTGGACTGCGTAGGCGAACAGGCATGGCTTAACTTCAATCGTTAATTTTAATTAACATTCAAAATTTTTGTCAGTGGAATTCCTCGACCACTACCACCTTCTCAATTAGACAGTCAACAAGTGTCGCCTTGACAGCCCTCTTAGTAGATCTTGACTTCTGACAATCAGAGTTTGGCTATCACCCAAAGAAATCTCATTTGTCTAGCAATTTACAATTCCCCTGCCTTTTGAATAAATTAATTCTTTTAACTTTTTAATAAAATCCTGTCATGTCTCTTGTTATGTTTATCGGGCTATCTTTTAACTTTTCCAGTATCTTGTTGTGTCATATCTCTCTTGGTATAGCTATCGAGCTATGTTTTAACCCTTCCAGTGTCTTATAGTGTCACACAAGGTTTGAGAGCCACTTAAGGTAAAGGGTTACAGACAACAAAATGGTAATGCTTAATGAGTTGTCTTTTAAATGTAAGAAAAGGCAGTAAGAAATGATGATCACAAGGATAAGGAGGAAAGCTAAGGATTAACCCTTGGTTTGAAAAGGTCAAAATTGAAGTGTTCTGGAAAGCAACCATGTGGAAGTATGCTTCAAAAAATGGCATTTCTTGAGGAAAACTGCTTTCTGAGTGGAACTTTCTTTTTAGATTTGAAGCACTGAGGAAACGAAGATGATTTGACTCCGTGGAAGTGGCATGGCATGTCCTAAATGTAAAGGTCTCAACTGTTGGAACTAAAGTTGTGTCTGTGGAAAAGAGGTTGCAGGGTGGAAAATAAGTCATCACCCAAGTCCATGTAACTGATTTTGAACTCTGTTAAAGGTGAAGTGAGGATTTAGCAACTCCAGTCCAAATATGGCAGCAATATATATATATTTTTTTTTCATTTTGTCTTATGTAAGCCGTGGCAATAGGAGTGAGGTACTTAAAGATTGAATATAGGAATTCTACTTGAAGTCTGGAGTGAACTTGTGTTCTGGGTAAGACTATAAACTGCATCTGAGGTTTTGAGGAGTGTGGAACCACTTCTTGATTGCTGATGCTCCCGGGTCCACCCTGACCTAGGGTGGTCTCACCTGTTAGGGTCCTGGCTATGGATGAATAGTTTGATGCCAAATTGGGGTCAAAACATGTAAAAATAGGTTTATTACCAGCAATGAATTTTTGAAGAAAATAATTATCAGTAATACATTATTACCAGCAATACTTTTTTTGAAAAAAAAATATTACCAGCATTACCTTTTTGAAAAAAATATTAACAGCAATACCTTTTTTTGAAAAAAAATATTACCAACAATATAAATCTTGTCAGCATTAAATAACTCATTGAGGTTGATATGCCATAAAACAAACCAAACTAAACGGGAGTGAACTTCACCCCCCCTCACCTTTGCACTGCGAAAATAAAAGCCAAAGTATGGAGCCTTGTTGAATGTGTGAACATTCATCATAACTGGGAAAACACAAGATAGAAGAAATAAAGCAACATTTTTGACATATTTTTAAAAAAGGTAAAAATATGACTCAAATATAAAGATTTCTGCAATTTAATGAGAAGATGTATGATCAAACATTTCAAAAGTGGTTTGTGAATATTTTGCTGGAGATTTCTGGTGCAATGCTTCACTGTTGGGGGGGGAGAAGAGTTGAAATGTTGAGAGAGATAAAGATAAGGCATTTATATGACATTTGGGGAAATAACCATCATACTCAAAATATTATTAACATTTGAAATAATGTCCTCATCTTTGTTGCTATTGGCCACTCTCAGTGGCAAAGGGTGACTTGGAAAGCAAGACTTGCAGGCCAGTTGCCAAGCTGGAGAGTGGAGCCTTACTCTCCGCCCTCCTCGAAAATTATTTGCCCCTTCCCTGTGAGTGTGATATAAATTCATTTTAATGTGAAAACATGCAATTCTGATCTGTTAATGCAATTAAATCAAGCATCTTTTTAGTGGTCAGTCTCTGTAACAATTCATTGTTGCCCAAAGGTTTTCAGAGCATTTACAGAATTCAAATGGTTCTGAGATTTTTTTATGTATTCTCAAAGTTCTAATCAAAATTGTTCAAATTACAGTAGCCACTAGATGTCCATGTTTTATGTTGTTGACAAAATAACAGACATGAGAAACAGAATAATTTGTTCAGATGGGGAAATTGCGTCATCCATTCATACTGTATGTCATTGTTATTTCCATAATACTTGGAGTCAAAATAACAGTGATATTCTTTGATGTCCATTTTGGTTTTGATTTTTCAGTAATCTTCTCTTTAAAGTTTCTTGTTGCAAAAGGTCAGGAATGTGGAGAGGAAACTGAGTTGATTGACTTTTTTGGTTATCCTGCAACTGAATGAAAATGTGAAGAATGTTACTGGGCTATAATTGTACCATCTACAAAAAAAAAATAAATAACTAAAGTTAAAATGCATTTTTAAAAATGAAAATCTTTCTTGAAGCCTTTATTCCAGTTTTAATTCCAAGCTAATAGATTAAATTTAATATTTCCAATAAGCAAAATACTTTGCTGTATTTCAAACTGAAAGGAAGGATTTTTTTTATTATTATTACTAAAATCCGTAAAATCATCCTTAGTCTGTCAACACAACATAATTCTCTCTATTGAAAAAAAATCTTTCAAAAATAAAATATACTTTTCTGAAACATTATTTCAGAAAAATTAGCTGATTTAATGTTTAATTGTTTAATCAATTAATCAGAAATGAAACAAATATTGCATATTTTTAGTTTAAAATATTGCAGAAAAGCATTTTTTTAATATGGGGGTGGGTGTTTTTATGGGTTGTTGACTCATTTATCAATAGCCTAATATTTGTGAAATTTAAGTAAGGAGCAAATAATCATAATAAATTTACATGCCAT